AGCCTCATGAAACTTAGGTAATGTAAGCCTGGCAAAGTATCAACGTCTTCGAGTGTTAGCCGCCCGTAGAGTCAGACAGCCGGAGAGTCATCCAGCGGGAGAGTCATCCAGCGGGAGAGTCAGGCTCTTGCAGAGTCAGCCTCTTGGAGAGTCAGCCTCTTGGAGAGTCAGCCAGTATGAATGGACGCCCTCTCGATACCGCTGAGACGGGCATTTAAAAAAGAGCTTGATTTATCTCCCGTGCGAGGGGTGACCAGCCGAGAAATTGATCGTCTGCTCCCCCCTTTCTTGTCTTACAGCCCAGGGTCAAAGTTCACAGACAATTTATTTCCATTTCACGTCCCTGGTGTGCTATATTTCACACTTTGGCCCGTTTGGTTTTTTATTTATCGCGTCTAATTCCAGCCTGCCTTGGTGCAGCGGCCTGTATTTAGCTCTACGTGGTGGGTGGGGGAGGGGGGGGGGGTGGTGTTAGATAACTTGTAAGAAGGAGCGGAGTGGTCGAGTGGTAGATCACACGGCTACACACACTACCTGAGGTTTTAAAACAGCTTCAGCTTCACCTTCCTGAGTCCACCCACGTCTAATGACCACATGATATCTGAGTCCACCCAGCTCTAATGGGTACCTAACATTAATATCCCTGACCAACCGGCTCTAATGGCCTTTGACTAAATATTTGTAAAAAAAAAAACTGTCAAAGTAATGTAGAGTACAAATGTCTGACCCAAGACCATGAAAAACAAAAAGAAAACAGCGACATCATATAAACAATGCAGCGGTAAGACAGCGAGAACATTATCTACAGCTTTAGAAGAGTTGAGAAATTTTAAACTTAAACGGGCAACATTCCATTGAATGATCCCACAAGACCATGTTAAATAACATGAAATTATGTCTCTGTTATAAAACAAAAACTAGCGATCTCATGCCAAAATATTCAGTATCGAACAAGAGGCCTTTAACTTGCGACTAATTCCCTTAATTACCCGCTTACCGGCCTCTTGTTTACACATGGTTGCTCACGCACAGGCCAATGTGGTGCATGCTGTTGCACATGCTAATTACCCAGCGGTCCGTCCCTCGTGTCTAGAGGTTGGTTAGCAAACAGTTGAACCGTGACGGTGCCTTTAGGGGTCATCATGACATGGTTCGGTGTAACGTCAATGCCGGTATGTTGCAAACAATAGTTGGTCACAGGTGTCACCTGGTGGCTCGCTACAGGTGAGCCAAGTGGCCCCAGTGACTCGTTAGAGGTGGGTCAGGTGGCCCCAGGTGACTCACTACAGGTGAGCCAAGTGGCCCAAGGTGACTCGCTACAGTTGAGCCAGGTGACCTCATGTGACTCGTTAGAGGTGGGTCAGGTGGCCCCAGGTGACTCACTACAGGTGAGCCAAGTGGCCCAAGGTGACTCGCTACAGTTGGGCCAGGTGACCTCATGTGACTCGTTAGAGGTGGGTCAGGTCCCAGTTCCCATCAACCACTAAGGTCAAATGGCCGTGTCTTAGATGGCCAAGTTAATATGAGCCATTAAGATCAGACATCCTTTTTGGCCCCAGTCAACATAAACAACTAGAGTTAAATGGCCATTCCCTAAATGGCCCCGATAAACATCAACCACTATGGTCAAATGGCCATGCCCAAGATGGCCCCAACTAACTTGTATCACTAGTTGCGAGCTATTTTACCATTATTAATTAATAATAATAATAATAATAATAATGTAATGTATTAATATATATTTATATAGTAATATTATATATATATATATATATATATATATATATATATATATATATATATATATATATATATATATATATATATATATTTAAATAATATATAGATTATTTTTATCATTATTTATTCGTATTCTTTTTTACAGCTTAAATGTGCGTATATCGTGCATGAAATTTGGCAGTTTTTAACTTGGAAATTAATCTTGTTTAAATGCTGTTTTCGTGTTGAAGAGGGATCTAATGTGTTACAGTCTAAAGCTATGATTCATTCTGAAATATGTATTTAATGCCACAAGCCACAATAGTTTAAGCATTGAGACGTTACTGGGTCTGGGTTCGAACCTTGGTTGCGCCAGGGCTGTGACTGGATATGTTACTAGACACATCATTTTTTTATTCAAGTCGTCACTATATTTTTTAAAAGCATAGTGTTTTAAAATTAGTATTTTATAATGTAAATTAATGAGTGATCTTGTCTTAGTCGCGTTATTGTTTACATATGTTCCAGATGAATGACTGTTTTATATATGTTCCAGATGAATGACTCTGTTTCCCTATGTTCCAGATGAATGACTTTGTTTCCCTATGTTCCAGATGAATGAATCTGTTTCCCTATGTTCCAGATGAATGACTTTGTTTCCCTATGTCCAGATGACTGACTTTGTTTCCCTATGTTCCAGATGAATGACTTTGTTTCCCTATGTTCCAGATGAATGACTTTGATTACATATGTTCCAGATGAATGACTTTGTTTCCCTATGTTCCAGATGAATGACTTTGTTTCCCTATGTTCCAGATGAATGACTTTGCTTCCCTATGTTCCAGATGAATGACTTTGTTTTCCTATGTTCCAGATGAATGACTTTGTTTCCCTATGTTCCAGATGAATGACTTTGTTTCCATCTGTTCCAGATGAATGACTTTGCTTCCCTATGTTCCAGATGAATGACTTTGTTTCCCTATGTTCCAGATGAATGACTTTGTTTCCCTATGTTCCAGATGAATGACTTTGTTACCCTATGTTCCAGATGAATGACTTTGTTTCCCTCTGTTCCAGATGAATGACTTTGTTTCCCTATGTTCCAGATGAATGACTTTGTTTCCCTATGTTCCAGATGACTGACTTTGTTTCCCTATGTTCCAGATGAATGACTTTGCTTCCCTGTGTTCCAGATGAATGACTTTGATTACATATGTTCCAGATGAATGACTTTGTTTCCCTATGTTCCAGATGAATGACTTTGTTTTCCTATGTTCCAGATGAATGACTTTGTTTCCCAATGTTCCAGATGAATGACTTTGTTTCCCTATGTTCCAGATGAATGACTTTGTTTCCATCTGTTCCAGATGAATGACTTTGCTTCCCTATGTTCCAGATGAATGACTTTGTTTCCCTATGTTCCAGATGAATGACTTTGTTTCCCTATGTTCCAGATGAATGACTTTGTTACCCTATGTTCCAGATGAATGACTTTGTTTCCCTCTGTTCCAGATGAATGACTTTGTTTCCCTATGTTCCAGATGAATGACTTTGTTTCCCTATGTTCCAGATGACTGACTTTGTTTCCCTATGTTCCAGATGAATGACTTTGCTTCCCTGTGTTCCAGATGAATGACTTTGTTTCCCTATGTTTCAGATGACTGACTTTGTTTCCCTATGTTCCAGATGAATGACTTTGTTTCCCTATGTTCCAGATGAATAACTTTGTTTCCCTATGTTCCAGATGAATGAATTTGTTTCCATATGTTCCAGATGACTGACTTTGTTTCCCTATGTTCCAGATGAATGACTTTGCTTCCCTATGTTCCAGATGAATGACTTTGTTTCCCTATGTTCCAGATGAATGACTTTGTTTCCCTATGTTCCAGATGAATGACTTTGTTTCCCTATGTTCCAGATGAATTACTTTGTTTCCCTATGTTTCAGATGACTGACTTTGTTTCCCTATGTTCCAGTTGAATGAATTTGTTTCCCTATGTTCCAGATGACTGACTTTGTTTCCCTATGTTCCAGATGAATGACTTTGTTTCCCTATGTTCCAGATGAATGACTTTGCTTCCCTATGTTCCAGATGAATGACTTTGTTTCCCTATGTTCCAGATGAATGACTTTGTTTCCCTATGTTTCAGATGACTGAATTTGTTTCCCTATGTTCCAGATGACTGACTTTGTTTCCCTATGTTCCAGATGAATTACTTTGTTTCCCTATGTTTCAGATGACTGACTTTGTTTCCCTATGTTCCAGATGAATGACTTTGTTTCCCTATGTTCCAGATGAATGACTTTGTTTCCCTATGTTCCAGATGAATGAATTTGTTTCCCTATGTTCCAGATGACTGACTTTGTTTCCCTATGTTCCAGATGAATGACTTTGCTTCCCTATGTTCCAGATGAATGACTTTGTTTCCCTATGTTCCAGATGAATGACTTTGTTTCCCTATGTTCCAGATGAATGAATTTGTTTCCCTATGTTCCAGATGACTGACTTTGTTTCCCTATGTTCCAGATGAATGACTTTGCTTCCCTATGTTCCAGATGAATGACTTTGTTTCCCTATGTTCCAGATGAATGACTTTGTTTCCCTATGTTCCAGATGAATGACTTTGTTTCCATCTGTTCCAGATGAATGACTTTGTTTCCCTATGTTCCAGATGAATGACTTTGTTTCCCTATGTTCCAGATGAATGACTTTGTTTCCCTATGTTCCAGATGAATGACTTTGTTTCCCTATGTTCCAGATGAATGACTTTGTTTCCCTATGTTCCAGATGAATGACTTTGTTTCCATCTGTTCCAGATGAATGACTTTGTTTCCCTATGTTCCAGATGAATGACTTTGTTTCCCTATGTTCCAGATGAATGACTTTGTTTCCCTATGTTCCAGATGAATGACTTTGTTTCCCTATGTTCCAGATGAATGACTTTGTTTCCCTATGTTCCAGATGAATGACTTTGTTTCCATCTGTTCCAGATGAATGACTTTGTTTCCCTATGTTCCAGATGAATGACTTTGTTTCCCTATGTTCCAGATGAATGACTTTGTTTCCCTATGTTCCAGATGAATGACTTTGTTTCCCTATGTTCCAGATGAATGACTTTGTTTCCCTATGTTCCAGATGAATGACTTTGTTTCCATCTGTTCCAGATGAATGACTTTGTTTCCCTATGTTTCAGATGAATGACTTTGTTTCCCTATGTTCCAGATGAATGACTTTGTTTCCCTATGTTCCAGATGAATGACTTTGTTTCCCTATGTTCCAGATGAATGAGTTGCTGACAGGTTAAGGCCCTACCATGCTGAACGCCAGTGGAGGGGAGTACCTGTGTGTGGGGGACTACATCGCACTCTTCTCTGTGGACACGGAGGGTTACGTCAACTCCACACAATCCAGGTAATTTAACTATGATTAAACACAAAAGTTGACCACAACTCATATTAAATGTAAGCAATGACAACAACTGATATACATTGCAGGAAATGACAAGTGACAAAAGCAGTTTACTGAAAATATCACATCCCCTCTTGACTGACACATTTTTGACTTGACAAAACATCTTTTAGAATATGTCTTGCTACCTATCTTGACAACGAGATATAAAAACTAGAACTCGACAAATTAAAAACTATGATCAGATGAGACGGAATAAGGTTATCATTTATTTCACAAGTGCCGGTCTTCTAGTGTACTCTGTCAATCAGCATCGTTACATCAGGCAGGTCAATAAGGTCAATAAGGTCAGCCCAGTGTGGCCTTGTCCCTGGGCTCTGTTATACGGGGTTAATGTAGGGGTCTGTTGGTTCATGTGGGTCTGTTGGTTCATGTGGGGGTCTGTTGGTTCAAACAGAGTTTCTTCCCCGGAAAAATTCTATCCCCCCCCCCCCCCCCCGAACGAAATGAAATTTATATAATTTATATAGAAAAAATATATACTTTTAAGTGTCCACCCCCCGAAGAAAGTCTACCGCCCGCCCCCCCCCCCCCCCCCGAAAATTTCAAGTCCCCCCCCCCCCCGGAGAAAAAAGTCTGGAAGAAACACTGGGTTCAAATGGGGTCTTTTGGTTCGGTCTTTTGGTTTATGAGGGGGTCTGTTGGTTTATGAGTGGTCTTTTGGTTTATGAGGGGGTCTCTTGGTTTATGAGTGGGTCTGTTGGTTTATGTAGGGGTATGTTGGTTCATGTAGGGGTCTGTTGATAATTCGTCGTCTCTTAGTTCTTGTAAAGGTTCTGTTGGTTCATGTTTATCTATTAATTCATCTCGCAGTGTGTTCGTTCATGCGAAGGTCTAGTGGCTCGTGTTGGTAGTTATGACCCGTGTTATGGCCTACACAGTTAAGCCCCTTCTTCGCTTACTACCATTACTCTCACCAAACAATCTTCCCAGCACGATGTGCTCACCTACTGTAGCACGTTAACCCTAAGCCAGTTAATCCTTAACACCCTTTGTACTCGCAACAACAGCGTGGATAATCTCTGTTTAATTAGTCCCCCACCGTTAGCTCCGTGAGAGCTTATGACCTAGAAGCTAACTTTGTTTCTGTGGGTTTACAAATGTAACATTTTGTAGAGCTGTAAGCGATACCCTGCTCTGTTTGTAGATTGTTTGTAACATGTGTCTACCAATGTGTAACATGAGATGAGTGTTGTGTTAAAGGATATTTGGAATCTCCTTACTACAACTGAACTAGTGTTCAAATTTTTGTTTTGTTGCTTTGTTTTTTTTTATTTGAACACGTGAGTTGAGTGGTATTGAACATGAATATGACATTAGGATATGGATAAGTTATTAAAAAATGGACATGTTACGTGTACAAATGACATGTCTATATTCAAATATCACGTCCATGTACAAATGTCACGTCCATGTTCAAATGTCACGTACAAGTTCAAATGACATATCTATATTTCAATGACATGTTTATATTTAAATGACTTGTCCATATTCAAATAACATTACTACATTGACTTGTCATTTAAATATGGGCGGATTCGACATGGCATTTTAATATGGGCGTACAAAGACGTGACATTTGAGCATGGACGTGATATTTGAACATGGGCGTGACATAATGATTTGAACTCACATTTAAAACTTGGAAAATTGATTAAAAATCTTTTTAAAACCTCACTGACTTACATAGAGTCAAAACATTTTCTATTTGCGCGACGCGATCTGTAAACGGAATTCAACTGTTGATGTGTGCTGTACAAATAGACGTCTGGGGAAGTAATCCTAGGACTCACCACATCTTGCAGTACATCTTCTCTGTACATACGTTAAGTGGGGCGAATTTCTCAAGGGAGGTAACATAAAAAAAGTTCCATTTAGAGTTAATTTCCTTTATTGGTTCTCTGATGTGTTCTCATGCAAGTGCTATGCCGTGGATCATGTAGAGATGTAGTTTTGGACTTGTTTCAGACGTTCTTTTAAATTATGAATGCTTGTGGCAAAATTACAGCATTTTTTAAATAATATCATCAAGTTAATTGACTTTATTATTATGTGTACTAATGATGTACCTAATTTAATAGAAGATCAAAAACAAATAAAAACTATTCCTAAACTTCATTAACTGTAAAATTCGTAGTTTGAATTTTGAACTACAAGAATTTTCATCACAGCTGTGAACTAGGATCCACCCATGCTCTCAGTGCACTAGACATCAAATCTATTTACGAGTCTACTTTTTAAATAGCAACCTGCGATTTATAAATAGGACTGATTGATTAGAAAATCGATTAACTCTCAGAAACAAAATTCCAAACCTCATCTACAACTGAAACAATTTTCAGCCACAGCGTCATAAAATGTAAACGACTGCCGTCTAACAAATGTGTAGCGATTGCGATAAAGAAACCACTTTAAAGATCGAAGCACTGGGTAAAGAAATAAAGAAATTATGATCTGATTTCTACTTATATCAACATAAGTTAAAGAAATTGATTTTAGCGTGACGTATGTTGACATACACTCGCTGTGTCGCGCTGACAGTACATCTTCTCTGTACATACGTTAAGTGGGGCGAATTTCTCAAGGGAGGTAACATAAAAAAAGTTCCATTTAGAGTTAATTTCCTTTATTGGTTCTCTGATGTGTTCTCATGCAAGTGCTATGCCGTGGATCATGTAGAGATGTAGTTTTGGACTTGTTTCAGACGTTCTTTTAAATTATGAATGCTTGTGGCAAAATTACAGCATTTTTTAAATAATATCATCAAGTTAATTGACTTTATTATTATGTGTACTAATGATGTACCTAATTTAATAGAAGATCAAAAACAAATAAAAACTATTCCTAAACTTCATTAACTGTAAAATTCGTAGTTTGAATTTTGAACTACAAGAATTTTCATCACAGCTGTGAACTAGGATCCACCCATGCTCTCAGTGCACTAGACATCAAATCTATTTACGAGTCTACTTTTTAAATAGCAACCTGCGATTTATAAATAGGACTGATTGATTAGAAAATCGATTAACTCTCAGAAACAAAATTCCAAACCTCATCTACAACTGAAACAATTTTCAGCCACAGCGTCATAAAATGTAAACGACTGCCGTCTAACAAATGTGTAGCGATTGCGATAAAGAAACCACTTTAAAGATCGAAGCACTGGGTAAAGAAATAAATAAATTATGATCTGATTTCTACTTATATCAACATAAGTTAAAGAAATTGATTTTAGCGTGACGTATGTTGACATACACTCGCTGTGTCGCGCTGACATTGTATGAAGAGAAAATGTTTTCTGTAGAAAATGTTGAGTGTCCTAAAGTTTGGAGGACAGTTTGGTCCTGTCAACATTACGTCATGCCAGGTCATACAGTAAACTCGGGTCACTGAGCAAGCAGGTCTGAATGGGGTGAGACACACTACAGATTCGAACCCACCAACTCAAGCTGACTCAACCGTTCAAGAACTCCGACACAATTTTGTTGTGGTCAAGTAGTGAAAAAATCATTAATAGCAACAGTAGGCAGCTTACGAAGGATTGTGTGACTAGTTTTATGCGGTAGTTCATTCCTTCAATATAAAGTTTGACGAGCTAACAGGAGATTATATGGCCTGTTACCTGCTTAAGGGTACGTGTTGCTAGCGATCCAAAATCTCCAGTTAAGCTCCCAAACGAGTCCCTGAGTCCACACAGCTCTAATGAGTACCTGACTAGAGGCAGGGAATACACGGGCTTCTGGGGATAGTGCTGAGCACACAATCGTTCCACATATACACATCATGTTTTATTTAACCCATAGTCCTTCTAGTATGATAAGAGCTTTACATAACCTCTTCCTTACACATACGTCACACACAGGTATACACACACCCATATATACACACACAACCCCACACATTTAACCATCTAACTTCCCACCCAGTAACGTAAATCTTAACCGAACCAACCAACATGACCGTCTCTAACCATTTGACGTTGGTGTATGTTTAGAATATGTGGAGCGATAATCTCCCTTTGTTAACATAATGACGTCATGTTTTAGTACTGGTCAATGCTTGACCGTTAATTCCTCGTGGTGGGGGGGGGGACTTCCACTTTGTTTTGTTTATAAAATGTATATGTTGAGCTCCTGTTTAAGCTCCAACGTTTTGTTTACCACATATCCATCTTAAAGCTCCTGTTTAAGCTCCAACGTTTTGTTTACCACATATACATCTTTAACAAGCTCCTGTTTAAGCTCCAACGTTTTGTTTACCACATATACATCTTAAAGCTCCAGTTTAAGCTCCAATGTTTTGTTTCTTTAGCTCCAGCTACAGCGAGATCTACATCTATCAGAACCAGGACCGGGACAAGCCAGCACACATCCCCAACCCACAAGGTGAGTACGGGAGCAGGGGTGTAGGGGTACATCGTTGTAGGGGTGCAGGGGTGTAGGGGTACAGGGGTGTAGGGGTACAGGGGTGTAGGGGTACAGGGGTGTAGGTGTACAGGGGTGTAGGGGTACAGGGGTGTAGGTGTACAGGGGTGTAGGGGTACAGGGGTGTAGGGGTACAGGGGTGTAGGGGTACAGGGGTACGGGGGTGTAGGGGTACAGGGGTGTAGGGATACAGGGGTGTAGGGGTACAGGGGTACAGGGGTCTAGGGGTACAGGGGTGTAGGGGTACAGGGGTGTAGGCGTACAGGGGTAGAGGGGTACAGGGGTGTAGGGGTACAGGGGTGTAGGCGTACAGGGGTACAGGGGTGTAGGCGTACAGGGGTGTAAGGGTGTAGGGGTACAGGGGTGTAAGGGTGTAGGGGTACAGGGGTGTAGGGGTACAGGGGTGTAGGCGTACAGGGGTACGGGGGTGTATGGGTACAGGGGTGTAGGTGTACAGGGGTGTAGGGGTACAGGGGTGTAGGCGTACAGGGGTACTTGGATCTAGGGGTACAGGGGTGTAGGGGTACAGGGGTGTAGGCGTACAGGGGTACGGGGGTGTATGGGTACAGGGGTGTAGGTGTACAGGGGTGTAGGGGTACAGGGGTGTAGGGGTACAGGGGTACAGGGGTACAGGGGTCTAGGGGTACAGGGGTACAGGGGTGTAGGCGTACAGGGGTGTAGGCGTACAGGGGTGTAAGGGTGTAGGGGTAGGGGGTGTAGGGGTATAGGGTACAGGTAGCTTGGAAACATGTAGCAGGTGTATAGGGGTGCAGGTGTATAGGGGTACACAACTCCAAATTCCTTTCAGATAGTTTAGTACCTATGTACTGTGGCGCACAGTAATTTGTTATGAGTGTTTTATTCCTTATTTTAGTTATAAGCCAGCACCAACGCTAAAATATTAGAGGTCATAAAAACAGATGAAAAAATTTGAAACTTCTTTTATTTTTATCCCAACACTTAATCCATAATCTCAACATTAGCCCTAGTCCTAACAAGTATTTTCTCCCACCCCCCCCCCCCCCCACCCCCCAGCGGTGACCTTCCAGATATGCATACAGAACAGATACAAGCTGAGCAAGAAGTTACGCAAGTTGACCAGTCAGGTGACAAGTCAGGTGACCAGTCAGCTGACCAATGGCTCAGAGCAGAAGACAGAGTCCAGCACAGTGGACAAGAGTCTGTTGACGCAGACAAAGGTATGGGAGACATTAGTGGTCTGATGACGCAAAGATATAGGTCATTAGTAGAGTCGTGACGCTAAGGTATGGGAGTCATTAGTGAAGTCTGTTGAAGCTGACCAAAAATAGCTAGTTTATTAGAATTAACCTTAATTTAATTCGTTAAAAATTGATTAAAAGAATCAAACAGCATTGTGAAATTAGCACATAGGTTGTGTTGAGACTATAGGACTATGTAACAAAAAGTTACGTTGAGAGGACCTATAGGACTATGTAACAACAAAGTTTCACTGAGAGGACCTATTGGACTATATAAAAACAAGGTTACGTTATTAGGACCTATAGGACTATGTAACAAAAAAGTTGCACTGAGAAAACGTATGTGGGTGGTTACTATGTAGCAATACCTAAGATCAAATTTCGCAAGCCTTAAAATAAATTAATTGCGTATTCTAACATTTAAAAAAACAATTTTCCCAGTTAATTTTCTGCATATTTTAACGAATCTGTTTAATGAATGAGTAGAATCAGCGTCTAAAATAGCAACATCAATGAAATCTAATGGCGTACACTCGACTAACCTTGGCGGGGGTTATCGGTACAAGCTGGGTGGGGGGGGGGGGGTAATATGGTTGAGGATCATATTGCTAATTAACCGTAATTAACCTTTTATGACCTCGACACGGGTTGACAATACCCGCCTTCCAATTCACCTGATTCAACCACAAACACTTCGCAGTGTAGCGGTCCGGTATATGGGTGACGTCATCAGGCGACACGGCCTTCCCATTAGTGACGTCACCCGGCGAGACTCCTCCCCTTTTGATTCGGTGACGTCATCGAGTGTCATCCCACAAGAGTGACGTCATACTCTGACATGTTCCTTCGATTGAAAATATCATTAAATGATATGTCGTATCGATTGAGTAACGTAACAAAATGACACCCTCTTCTGTCTAGAGGTGTCATTAAGCGACACTTCCTCTCCATTGAGTGACGTAACAAAATGACACCCTCTTCTGTCTAGAGGTGTCATTAAGCGACACGTCCTCTCCATTGAGTGACGTCACCGTATTGAAAGAGGTCATGTTATCATTTTATTTTTTTCTTTCAGCTGGCGGCAGAAGCGGAAAACGCCGACAATATGTCCGAACAAAAACGACAGCAAGGCAAGAAAGTTCGATACGGCGAGATAGTGCAGGTGATTAATTGATTTTTTGTAGTATCGATTTATCGGAGAAATTATAGCCTTGATACCTTTTCTATAGCAGGATAAAAAACGTCCTTCGAAACGCTGAATGTAGTTGAATGAATGAAGGGAATGAGAGGTGGGGAGGGGGTGGTAATTAGGTTAAATAGCTGAAATCTAGTGCTAGCATATTATTAAATATTTTTTTCAAGAAAAAATTATTGAATAAAATATGTTTATATATTAAAATTAATGGCCCACCTTTTTAACGAATTATATTTTCAAAAACGCATTTGAATTAAGAAAACCTAGAGAAAAGTAAAAGAGAATTGATTTTTTAATCGAAGGAAAACTTCAATTGAACACGTTCGAACTTTAATAAACGGCAAAATAATGTATGTCAAATTTTTAAAAGTAAGAAGATATACGATGATAAAAACAAATTGGTATTGATATTATTTTTCCAAAGAATTTGATTGTAAAATGTACACGACTGTACATTTATTTTGTCTTTTTTTTCTAATTCAACCCAATGTGACGGTCAAATTTAGGAAATATCCATTTAACTAATTCGATCTTTTATTTTTGTTCAATCGATGTCTTGTTTCCGTCCAATCGAATTCCTAGTTTGTATATAATTAGTTTATATTCTAACCAATGAACCAATCAAATTTGTTCTACCCCCCCCCCCCCCCCAGCTGAAGCACGTGCTCACCGGCAAGTACATCCACATGTGTACGTCACAGACCAGCCAACGGGATAAAAACAACATGATGGTGAGTACACAGCTGGTCGATGCGCTAGTGCGTCAGGCCAGTCGATGGTTCGAATCACTGCAAGAGAGTATCTAATAGAAGAGCCCCCCCCCCCCTACAGTTGACATGTAGCCTCTCCAGTGTACACAACCAAACCTATGAATTTCTCTCTCTACTTCTCACTTTCTCTTTCTCTTTCTCTCTATCTTCTCTTTCAGCTGGTCAAAACCAGAAATTGTTTTGGAATAAAATCTAAAGCAGTGATTATTTATATGGGTTCGATTGAACCCCATAGCTTTGGTGATTCAGTCTCAGGGGTTCGGCGAAGATGAATAAACACCATCACCACCATATGATTTACAATCGAATTTTGTCAGTGCGGACGATAGAACTATTAAGTAGAGAAACTGGTGGGGTTCGATACTTCAAAAACTGTTAAGAACCACTGCTCTAAAGCCTCCATGCTGTCAATGTCTCTGTGTAACCACATCACGTGATGCCCATAAGGCAGAGAGTGTAAAGTCGAGTATATCTGGTGAGCAGATTCTATCTAGAACCATTTTCCCCCTCCACAAGGCTTTTACTTACCCCCCGCCCACCTTTCTAACCCCCCCCCCCCCCCATATGCAGTTAGGTTTAGATTTGGGGATAATCCGTGAGATGACCTATGACCCTGATATCACGTGACGACCGTGCCTCTACATTCAACACTAATTTTTTTTTTACAAACTGACCATTTTAACATTGTTATCCATTGTCGTTAAATTTTATAGTTTCGATCAAATGACAGTGTTCATTCTATGTTGGAGCGATTTTTTTTTACAAAATTAAATCGATACAATCTGACCTTGGATATCCGAGAACCCTAACCCAAATAGTAACATTATCCCTTGCCGGGTAAAACAAAAACAGGTCATGAAAACTGACGATATAAAAAACACAACCGAAGATAAATGAACCACGCGACAACGAAAAAAATAATTCTTCACCTCGGTTGTAAATTGTTTTTGGCGGCCATATTGATGCTCTACAATTTCCAATAATCGCGCCAAAAAAAAATGTCCTCTTCGTCAAAACTTTGTTTTTTGTAAACAAAATTAACCGTCATATTCAATCACGTGAACTTTGCTGTTGTCGTGTGCTAGGCCGCGGACTGATATGAGGGATGCTAGAACCCAGCGGTGAATAAAATAGACCGGAAGTTGATGGATCACGTGCCACTGTGCCTTGTACTTGCGCCGTGGCCTAAATTAGATGGACGGTTCTCAAACTAGTGTCACTCATTTCATTCTCGAACCACTCACTATTTGATACAAGTTGACAAATGTTCAATGTTAAAATACTTTATCAATATTCGTTTATTAAGTTTCTTCCATAAAGTAGACTACATTGCTATAAATATACCAAGCTGAGAAAAGGGGTCACCCATAATTCACGTAACATGCCGTCGGGCTTTGTGACGAAATGTGACGAAGGGGTCGGTGATCAAAAAGTGTAACGTCACATTTTTTTAATTTTATAAAATATTTTTAAACTGAATTCATGCTGTAATTCGGTCTGTTTAGATTTAATTAATCAATGCAATGAAAGTTTAACAAGTTTAATTATTATTATTGTAGAAAAGAAAATCACTGTTTCAAAAAAGGGAAATTGCAATGTGGGTGGGGGCGTCTGACTATATTTGGCGATGTGCTACTACCGAGGAGAGATTGGGGGTAAAAAAAAGGTAACACTAACGTGAGATCTGGAAAAAAAATTATAAACTTTTAAAGTGTCAAGGCGGAAATCGTTTGAAGTAACACGCTAGTATTGTCTTAGAAAAACATTTTTTCACGTCTCCATAAGTTAGGGAGAGAGAGAGATAATATAGGCGTTGTGATGAGATAGAGAGATAAAAAACATGAGAGGTGTGAGAGTTTTCATAAACACTGAGAGATTTCTAACATACATAGCCGGGGTATTAATATATTTGTGCATCTATTTATAGACCGCATAAGCCCCCCATTGATGTAACGCTTTTATGTCCCTGTCGTCGCCCCCCCCCCCCCATCAAATTCGGCCGTTATTCTGACATGTCTACACAGCTCACACAAAAAAGCCGGCAGAATGGCATCAAGCCGGCAGAAAATGTAACCGTCCTACAAAAAAGCCGGCAGAATGGCATCAAGCCGGTAGAAAATGTAACCGTCCTAAATGGCGTCTCTTGTGTGACAGCCCTACTCCGTGAGATGAAATCACATCCTTCGTTTAGTCCTGTTTATGTTTAGATCTTTTATTTTCTAGATCTTCATCTATGTCTATATTCTCATCCACATCAGTATCAAACCCGCATTTATATCCACATCCAAATCCACATCCAAATCCAAATCCACATCCAAATCCACATTTAAACCCACATTTATACTTTCATCCAAACCCACATCCAAACCCACATCCAAGCCCACATCCAAACCCACATTTATACTCTCATCCAAACCCACATCCAAACCTAAATCCAAACCCACATCCAAACCCACATCCAAACCCACATCCAAACCCACATCCAAACCCACATCCAAATCCACATCCAAACCTACATCCAAACCCACATTTACACCCACATCCAAGTCCACATCCAAACCCACAGCTAAACCCACATTTACACCCACATCCAAACCCACATCCAAACCCACAGCCAAATCCACATCCAAACTAGCATCCAAACCTGCATTCACTTATTTTACTTTTAATTTATAATTTTAAAAGAGTCCCTCTTATTAGCAAACCTGACATTGATAAAACTCTTTCATTCTTCTCTGTAGCAAACGTTTCAAAGCTAAGTAGACAAACTGAAAGCTGAGATTTTACTAGATCTAGATCTAACTCTAACAGAAAAAAACGCATCACAATCGATCTAAGAATTTGATTTAACACCATGATAACAGCGACAAATTGTTCAACACAAAAAAATCGATCAAAAACAAACTCCATATAACAACCAGATTTCGACAAGCAAGTGGTATATGTACACGTGTAGCCTAGTTTTGTTTCAAGCGACAAGTTCTTTTAGCACAAAATTTCTTCTTATACGCAGACATTGGAAAAACAAACTAGTTAACACAACACAAAACGTTTCGCACCGGTGCGGCTCGGTGCAGCCATCTCCCCGGAGAAATAAACGACGCGTAAACGTGTGCAATGAGATGCCGAGGGAGACAGTAAATATGCGTGATGTCTCTCCCGAGAGTGCCCTCTCCTGGTCCAACAAAAACGGTTTGACCTGTCTCAGTGTTAAACAACATCTACGAGCCGCCAGTGGAGAAATCTTGATGGGTCTCCGCTGGTGTTAAATCAAGTCTTTATAGCTATTGTGATCAGTGGTATCTGCGTGATAACATATATAGATGCTTTTGTGTGTCAGCACACATACACACACACACACACACATATATATATATATATGTATATATATATATATATATATATATATATATATATATATATATATATATATATATATATATATATATATATATATTTAAGGAGAAAGAAAGGTAGGCTCCAGATATTGGTCATGTTTTGTTGGTTTAAAATGACGACGTAGAGCCATACCGTGAAATACTTAAGTACCATGTCTCCTAGCTTTATTATTACGTGTCTAGGGACATGGACTGGGGGTCAAACAAATGTATCCCCAGGTGATGGACTGGCGAAACTGACCAGCACTTAGTCACAGTCAGGTTGTGTCGTGTCTCTCAGAGTGGGATGCTACACTCGTTAAACTACTGTCTATAGCTTACTACTGCTATTTTGACTTACGATGAACGATATGACGACATATGCTCAACAAGCTCAATTAGTAGCTTTTTTCTTTACTTCGACCCATGTTATTCCAGCCTTTCTTGGCTTCCTTCAGACAGATCTCTTCAATGCATTCTTTTTTGTTTCATTCTAAAGTTTCTGTTTGTAATGATGGAAACACTACTTCCCATTTCCCATAAACCTTTATCACAAGTAATCTACACTAGACAACAACAATACTTATGTTAGTCACTTAGCTTTACTGTACATTTGTGTATGTTACATTAATTATTGTGTATTGCACATTGGAACTGGCTAGCTACCGTATAAGAACCACAACATACAGACCTAATACATTCAGCCAACCATTTATTGTGTAGTGTAAAATTGAACTGACTAGCCACAATATAAGAGATACAACATACAGACGTAGTACAATTGAGTTAGCCATCGGTTGTTGGCGAATGGTAAAGACACCCCTGGTGTGGATCAGAAACAAGGATGATTAGATGTGCAGGGGGTGTGGGGTGGGTTATTGTCAGGGATTGAGGGTGGGGGGGGGTGCTATGGGTTTAATCTGTCAGGAAGCCGGCAGGGTATGACAGGCTAAAATAACCGGTTAAATGTACGATCTAGTAAGCGGATTAATACCTGCTGGTTGGTAGTGAGAAAATCTGTCACGGGAAATTAATTTCTTCCAGCCGTGGGCAGAGACGTGTTTCGTGAGGTTTGATGGTGCGGTGGGTTGTTTCATGGTGAGCAGATATGTGGGGGATGTGTGTGGGGATGTGTGTGGGGATGTGTGTGGGGATGTGTGTGGGGGATGTGTGTGGGGATGTGTGTGGGGATGTGTGTGGGGATGTGTTTGCTTTTTGTGTGTGCGTGGGAGTCAGTTTAATGAGCTCATCGGCAAATGTATTTATTTGTTTATCCTTGGATGTCATTAAGTGTGTGAGAGAGTGTTAGAGTGTGCATGCGTAGGTGTGTATCAATGTGTGTGAACTGTGTGTGTGTGTGTGTAGATTTTGGTGTGTTTCATGTTTGCCTGTGTTTAAATGTATATCCTTAACTTATCGTTTGTATGCGTGCATGTGTATATATAAGAATATATATATGCCTGCGTGTGTGTGAGTGTGTATATGTGCGTGCTCATATGTGTGTTAAACGTTTGGCGCTGGTTTAAACCACGGCTACAATTATCGTGAGCTGTATGCAAATCCTCGCGTGAGCTTGCTCTTCCC